CTACGGTGCGAAAAGTGCAAAAACGCATAATCGCACCGGCCCGCCTGGTGCGTTCCAGCCTGGGTTAATTAAATGATTTCGTTGTTCATCAACATTTTTCACTTTTCCCGATGAATTATTTTTTGTTGCAGCACCCCCTGAGCTTGAGACAACCGAACCTCAAAAACAAACGAGACGAGAAAAAGATAGCGTCACGTTGTTTTGTCCAGTAAAGCGCACTCACCATTCGACGACACCTACTGAGATTCTATGGTACAAGGATGGCAGACCTGTAGACGGGAATATCGGGCCTAACATCAAGGTTAATTGTGCTCCATCAGCTTATCGTTAGTCTTGAGAAAAAGATTTTCAACTTCATTATCTTCAGACTAAACTATTACATTTCGGACTTTGGTTGCACGAGTTTTTGTCTCCGACAATTTTAGTGTCGACAGATTCTCCGCTTTGGATATAGGAGTATGGCTAGCGTTGGTGCTTTGTCCAATTATTCCTTACGTGCTTTCATAGACTTCCTTCCTTTTAAATTTCGGAAATTCTGAAGTTTGCTTTAAATAAGATAATTGGCGGGTAGTGTTTTCTCTTCAGAACGAAACAGGGCATTCAAATTTAATTCCTTCATAATGAACGTGTCTGCCACTTTTTACGTCTGTCACCTGTGAAATGTTCCGTCACTATAGGAAATGTAACTGCTTCAGCTGATTAAAGCGTTTGCATGAATGCTAGCGCCACTCTCCCACCGCGATAAACTGTTTGGGTCAGAATTTGTGAAAGTTCTGCTTGGTAAAGTATAATTTTTACTTTTTGAATATGTAATATTTCTGCGAAATTTGAGATAACATCAGAAGGACAGCGGCTGCAAATTGTGCGCACATCACTTTCGGATGCTGGCAACTATTCGTGCGTGGCGCTCAATCGTGCTGGTGAAGCATCGTTGGACTTCGAAGTGGAAATACTCTGTACGCATTTGGCTAGTGAATATTGTCGAAATTTGGAAAATAGACATATTGCATCCGTAAACGCAGCATATGCGCGACGTAGGGAAGAACACTTAAGGCTACTTGCGGAACGCAACAGGCAGCGCCACGAGGAACAACTGAGGGAGCAAACCAGATCCTATAAAGTAGATGAGTCTCGTTATATTGACAACTATATTTTCCCTCCATCATCATCATCATCATCATCATCAGCAGCAGCAACAACAACAGTACTACCTTGTACTGATTCGGAGTCACGTACAGTACATTCACAGTATTATACTGCGACCAGAGAACCAGCTATGGTAATCCAATCATACACACTGAAATCGCGTGCACATCATTCTCGTTTTCATAGCTTCATTAGAGATGAGCATTATCGTGAGGCATTATCAGCCACTCCGCTTTATCCCTATTATAATTATTCATTGATTGGTGTTACTGCTCCGCCACGTCTAGAATCTTCACCTACACGCTTAAAAGTTCGGGTTAGAGACGGCAGACTCGGCTACAGCTCATACACGCAGGATACAGGGCCAGTTTCAAGTTCCGCCAATAGGTTTCTTCCAAGATCCGACTTTGCTACATTAGTGCAACGACCAAATCTCAGAAAACAGAAACTGACTGTGAAACCGATTACAAGTTTTCAAAAACTGCGGTCACAGCAGCAAGAGAAAGCATTATCCAAAGCAATTAGCCACCAAAAGCCATGTATTCCCAAAAGTGAGTATGATATTAACAATAGAGTTTTGTTAAATGAAGGTCATGAAAGCGACCGAATCGAACTCAACCGTGCAGTTTCTGGTCATCGACTTCGTCGACCGCATCATTTTCATCATCGATATCCAGATTATTCGGATGACAGTAGATCCAAAATCTGGGCTTATACTGGAGTAAATGAAAAGAAACAATCAGCGGAAACTAATGACGTAGCTCGGTCTTGTGAGGAATATAAGGAGAAATATCCATGGGGAGGCAAAAGACTTCGTTTCCAACGCCAGTGGCAACCGTGGGATCCGGATTACTCTGATGAACCGTGGACGTCGTGGTACTCTTATAAGGAGCCCAAAATACAAAGACAGCGACGAGAGTTGCTTGGGCAAGCTTGATGGAGCAGGCGAATCTATTAACGTTCACGCAATAGTTTTTTTAATGTATAAAACTATAGATTTAGATTTCAGAAGTGCCCTCAGAAAGAAATTATTAAAAGTCAAAATGCCACATTAAAACTCTAAATTTTACAAGCTTATTAATGGGCAAACGGATGGTACTAGGGAATAAGAGAATAACGCGGCTCCGTGTTTGGCTGTCATTTATTCGTAATCTTTTGACTGCCTATTCCTAGTTCTCTTCGCTTTTCATTACTCTGTACAGTATCCCGTTCGCAGTTCGCAGTTCGAATCTCATTTCTGTCATTTTAGTATATTTTTGCAATAGAAAGCTTATTATGGCGGGATCATGTCGATATATACTTGTTCTTTCTTCGGATTCCAAGGGAGATTTTTGAATTGCGAGCATTTCGCCAGAAGACATGAGTGAGGCGCTGCCCAAAAAGGGCTTTCGTCCTAAATCGTTGATTGAATAACAAATATGTTAGGAGGAATAAAAAATTTTCAACTTCCTCTTCTTCCGTATTCATTTTACGTTTTCCGTTTCCCTCGTGAATATCCCGGAATTTGGCCATTTTGTTTTGCGTTAAAGTGCACTACAGTGGAGCTAGGAAATAATTTCAAACATCCAGTTTACCTGGACTATATTCCCAGGGCGCAGCTAACACATGCACTTTAATTAGCCTAGCAGTAGATACATAGTGGGTCAGGAGATTGCAGAAAACGCATGTTTATATAAGCTTCTGGATTTTGCATTGGTATCTATTTATTTTTTATTTAAGTTCAAGTATGTATTGCTTGAAACTTTGCCATGCTGTTGTGCTGCCATTTAAGAAGTTTTGAAAGAAGCATTTGCATGCATGTAATATTACTAATCAGTTCACTTTTTGATGATAATGATGATGTAATAGTGATGTGTTTGTTACTGACAATGCACTGATTGCCCTATTAACTAATAACACTGCTGATTTGCTGTGATGAATAATGTTTTGAAAAGAACTGCCGTCATCAAATTTCAATTATCCAGTATTAAATGACCGTGCTTGGCTGTAGTTGCATCCCAGTAATATCAGATATCTGTACTAAAACAATGATAACAGGCATGATATAGGAACGACAGGTATCACAGGGTGAGAAACTAGGCACATTTATCTTTTTTTAGACTGCAGCACTTTCTCACAACACAGCGGCTGAGCATTTCTCGAGAACAAGCAACAGAAAGTTTGCTTGGTTGGTTGTATTAAGTATGGTGCCTCTTAAACTTTGTTCATGGCTCTTTATACTCGGACTAAAGTTCCAGCTAGTTCGTGGATAATTGGAGGAGGAAACCTTTGAAGTGTTCAGCTTCAAGATGGCCATCGCCTTTGGTTACCCGGTTTTCTACTATTTCTCTTAATTTCAGAAGGTGCTTTGTTTATAAAGGAAGCTGCTGTCACAAAATTATTTGCGAAAGTTATGATTCAGCCTTTTTTTTTTACTCGATGATGCAGATGGGCTTAAAGGAAATTTCATTGAAATTCAGGGAATCCTTTTATGAGTTACCTCTTCTTGTGCTCTTACCCTCAAAAATGGTAGCAACTTTTAGACGAAATTCCCCAATATTTGTGCCAAACAAGTTAGCAGTAAAAAATTGGACACTGATTAGTTTACAACACAACTGCTAATAGCATACCAGCATGCTTGTGGTGTGTGGTATATTCGGGTATTTAGAAATACCAGAGTAACATTCTGATTTAGCATCTCCAGAGAAATATCAGATTAGCGTGGAACATAAGTCTGAAGGGAAAAAAGCATTTCAGATTTCTTGAAAACTTCAATATTCATTAAAATAGATATTAAATTACATTTTCACAAAGGGTGGTACTATGCTATTTTATTTCTTCATTATTATTATAGTTGAGTGATAAGACTGCTCGGATAATTGATTCAGGTATCCTACGTTAGTGTTGTTGCTGAAATGCGCTCCGCATGCTAGGTGGGTACTAGGCATACTAGGCATTTCGCTTCTGAGCTGTTTTCCCTCTCCTTCCCGTTGGAGCCACTGCCTGTTCGATGCTTTTCAAATAATCTTTTTCGAAATAAGTGATTAAGCATTTTTCTGAGGCGACCAAATCCGGTACTTGCGAGAAAATAACTGGAATAGGAAAAAATCTTGCTCATGTCTGTGCTGCAATCGCCTTGTACCCGAATTTCCTGCACTGTGCTGCACTTATAGCACATGC